TGTTGCCTAGAGAAAAGAGGGTAAATAAATACCGAAGACAAACTTCATCTTTGCAGTTTTGTGGGTGCCATTATCAGGACTCAAAGACTACTTTTCCTTCAACTATCCATCCATCCACTAAACATTTGTTGAGTACCTCTTACATGCCAACTTACCGCTAGATGCTGGAGATACAAAGACAGACAGATAAGATACCATCCAGAAACACAAAGCAGGTTGGGGAGTTAAACAATGCCACTACCACCACTCCTGAAAAGCAATGACAACATAATGTGTGAATTGCTTTAACTGAGAAATTAAAGAACTCTTGTGAAAATGGGTAGGAAAACTTTAATGATGAGAGAGTAAAGGAAAGCTTTTCAAAGAGGATTTGGGGTTCTTAAAATCAAGTACTTCATTCCTCTTAAGTTGATTTGCACTCTTCTATCATTCTTTTCACATCTTCTCCTATGTCTGTGTTTGGGAGAAAGATCTGGTGGGTGTTATTAACCTTTGTTCTAAAGAGCCTTGCAGTCCAAAGTGTGATCTCAATAGTAGCATGATCCCTTTACCTGAGGTACTGGAAATGCAGAACCTCAGACCCCACTCAAGATCTTCCCCCGGGAATCTGAATTTTAACAAGATCCCCAGGTGATTCACATGTGCACGAACAACTGAAAAGCACTGTCATAGAAGATGAAAGCCTCATCTCAGGAAATAAACTTCCCACAGTCAGGCCCCCTCGCCCAAGAAGGGCAGCATTCAGTGTCTACCTTGGACAGTTCCAAAACCTTTTGATCTCATGATCTCTATATACACTTTTCACTTATTAAGGACAGCAAAGAGATTTACTTATATGAGTTATAGCTACTGACTTTTACAATACTAAAAATTAAATTTGGAAAATTATTTGTTAGTTCATTTAAAAACAACAATAAATTCCTACATGTTGATATAAATAATAGTTTTCAGGCAAAATAACCACCTTTTCAAAATGTATTAGTAAGAAGAGCACCATGGTTTTACATATTTGCAAATATTTTAAACATCTGGCTTAACAGAAGACAGATGCATTCTCATATCTGCTTCTGTGTTATAGCTGTTGCCATATGACACATCAAGTAGGGTCCCATAATATGCCCACAGAATGAGAGTGAAAATTTTTATTTTAGTATTATTATTAAAAAATTGTTTTACCATACAGACCACTGGGCCGCTTTGAGATCTATCCCAACCCTAGAGCTCTCCTCTCTCATGGACCTTTACCTCTAACTTTTAGGAAACACCATCACAATTCGAATTGTGCCAATTGTAATGATTTGTCACAACTGCAAAGAATATTCTTAACAGAATCATTTGAGACAAAGAATGATTTCTTAATTAGGTAAGTTCTTTAGATGGAAAGATTTCACATCCTCCCTTCAAAGACCAGTTGAGTGATCCCCACAATTGTGTTATCTTAGCCAAGCCAGATCACCTGTTAATCTACCTGGAGATGGTATTGGCTGCACTAACTCTAATATGCACAGGTGCACTGAAAATGAAGGGAAGCTATACATTAAAAAAATATATTGTTAATTAACTAACTAAATGTAAGGTGTTACTACATATTTTCTACATCTCTTCCTACACATTTGCAATGTTGTGACTCTGGTTGAAACTTTCTTACTTATGAAAAAATTAACCTAACTCATACCTGCTCTATTTACTCCTGTCTCCAGGTTCTATCTCCAGGTTCCTCTTTCTTCTATTTAGTCTCATTATCTTGTACTCCAGGAACCTTGTTTATTTAATTTATTGTCTTAGCAGACAGGGAAAAATTGTCCCTTGTCCTGAAGCAAGTTTTAAGACAGAAATCATAGATCTAAAAGGACCTTTTGGCCATCTCGTCCAGCAGGTCTCAATCCTTCATGCGCGGTAGACTCACCATTGCTTGGAGAATTAAAGGGAGAAAAAAACAACACCAGAGTCAAACCCAGACCAAACAAATCCAACTCTCTGGTGTGGACCCAGGCGCTGGAACTTGTAAAGGTCCATCAGAAGATTCTAAAGCGCAGCCAGGGCTGAGAAACTCCGATCTAGTCCAACTCTTCACTTTCCAGATGTGGGATGGGGGGAAAGACAGCCAAGTTGGGAAGGAAGCTAGCATAGAATCACCAAAATAGAACTAGAATTTGAACACCACATTCTGGCCAGACAATATGACCAAGATTCTCCCATTGTTCTCTTAATTCAGTCCTCAAAATGAAACAAACAAAACTGGAGTTTTAGTCTTCTTCCTTATTAAGAAGGCATTTTTCAAATAACGTTAAAGTATATTTTATATACAATAAAATATATGTACCCATTTTAAGTTTAAAGTTCAATAAGTTAGACACATATATACACACACACCCATGTTAGTACCTCCTCAACCTTAACATAGAATATTTTCATCACCCCAGAAAGTTCCTGTGCCTCTGCCCTGTCAGCAACCTCTATTGAGGCCTCAGGCAACAATTACCCTGGTTTCCCTGACTGCAGATTGGTTTTTCCTGTTTTAGAACCACATAGAAATGGAATCATACAGTATGCATTCTTTTATGTCTGCATTCTTTCACTCAGCATAATTTTTTAAAGATTCAATGGTGTTGTATCAGCAATTTGTTCCTTTTATCGATGAGCAGCATTCCATCACATGAATATTCCATAGTTTATCCAACTGGGTTGCTTCCGGTTTGGGGCTATTACAAATAAAGCTGCTATGGGCATTTGTGTACAAGTCTTTGAAAGTGCATAAATTTTTATTTCTCTTGAGTAAAGATATAGGAGTGGAAATATTAGGCCCAACGAGGCCCAGGAGGCAAGGTACATACAAGAAAACGGTTCTGCATCCAGGCAGGGCTCTTTATTAACATAGAGATCAAAATGCTGACTTCATGGGCATGTTCAAAGGATGGGAGAGAAAGCATGTAGAATGTTGGTAAATAGAAGACACTTAATAAATGATAATAGAAATAACTAGAAACAGAACTGGTTGGACTGTTCTCAGTGAGGTACTTTCCCACTATAGCACACTGTTCACCTCCCCCCAGTGCTCATCCAGCCAAAGGCTCCTCCAACCCCACCCAACCCCTATACCCCCTCCTATCCTTCAAGGTGAGGCCATAAAATGTGAACTGCCTTCTGAATTAATCTAGAAGTGTTTCTTGGCTTGTTTGTTCTATTAATTTTTAGTTATCTTTTAAGGAGAAATGCCTACCTTTGGGCCATTATTAGACTGAGATATGACCACAAGCGGTGACCAACCTATTGATAACTGTAAGTGAACCTGAAAATAGCTTTCAGAAAATATGACTTTATTTGCATTTAAACTCCCTCTGTTGTCTAGTTCTTTCCCCCATGCCTTATGTTCTTCCTGTGCAAATCTTCTACTCCTCCTAAAAGTGCCCTTTTATCTGCAGGACAGAGGAGCAAGATAAATGGCCAATGTCCGACATGTTCTATTAAACACACACACACACACACACACACACACACACCTTATCTATGTTCAACTGTAAAAGCTGTGAAGACTTAAATTTACCAAATGAATCATAAAAGATGCTATCCTAGAATAAGCACTTTTCTCTCGTAAAATGTCTCCTCTCTCATGGGGCCTTGTGAGAAATGACCCTATCTTCACTGAGGTGACAAGCCCCAGATGTCACCAGCCCCCCCTCACTGAGGTGGCTGCTGTTCACAGTTATACTTCCCCTCTCCCACAAGGTGGTCTCCTGTCCTGCCCTCCATGCTGATCCCTTGATCAAGGGGCCTTTTTGATCTCTTCAGATAAACAGGCCAGCAAACAGGCCTTTTCCTCAGCCAATTTGAATGCATGCTGCCTTGAGATTCCAGAGACAATCAGCTTTGGCTTTGGAACTGCATGCGGGTCTTCCTTGGGAGGCCTAATAGCATGTTTCATCTGTGAGCCACTTTATAAAAATTAACTGATTAAGCCACTCTCTCTCTTCACAAACTCTAGGCTTTTGCACAGTGGACTACATTCTCCACTGCCCTCAAATTACTCCAGGAGGAAAGAAACTGGGGTTAAATGATCTTTGAGGGGTATTTTATGCCAAGATAACATTAATGCCAAAGACCTTGAAACAGCAACCCCCACTTGGGTAATGACTTGACCAGGGAAGGATTTAAGTCCATGCATGAAATTTGTGCACAGGGGGTGGGGGAGGGGCTGTTCCTCTCCAATCTGGGACCCCTCAGGGGATGTCTGACTCCCGGTTTAGGACATCCTAAACTGGCAGTAGGACATCCCTCTCACAACCTGGGACCACTGGCTCCTAACTGCTCACCTACCTGCCTGCCTGATTGTCCCTAACCACTCTGCATGCTGACCTGCTCACCCCCAACTGCCCCCCCTGCTGGCCTGATCACCCCCAACTGTCCCCCCTGCCGGCCTGATTTCCCCTAACAGCCTCTGCCTCGGCCACGCCACCATGGCTTTGTCCAGAAGGACGTCCAGAAGGTCTCCCAGTCTAATTAGCATATTACCCTTTTATTAATACAGATTTTATTGGGATACAGTCATGCTCATTTACGTGTTAGCTATTACTATTTTTGCCCTAAATTATCAGTTGAGCAGTTGCAACTGAGACCAAATGGTCTGCTGAACCAAAAAATATTTACTCCCTGGCCCTATAGAAAAAGTTAACCCACCCCCAGTGGAGGTAACTTAAACTTTGTTCTCATCCTACACATTCCCTAAATATCTTTAAGCAAGGCTCTTTCCCTCTGCAGACTCAGTCACTACATCTATTGATTGAAAAGCCTGTAAAGTGAGGCATCGCCTTGGGTTTGTTCTCCCATTGTTCTGCAAGTATTAGCATCTAATATTTTCGTTCTATTACAGCTGACTTCATGGAGGGCAGAAAAGTGTTCTGTGAGTCTCATGAATCATCCTAACTGCCAGCCTCTATGCTAAGTCCTGAGTCCATTTATGGAGTATAACTTAACTGACTTAAATTATACATCTTTCTTCACAGAGAGATCTCACAGAATGATGTCTTGGAAGTAATAGAGGCGAATGTGTTCTCCAATCTGCCCAAATTACATGAAATGTAAGCAAGAACCTATGGGGTTTGCTCATGACTATTCTTGACCATCACCTGAAAGTCTGCTTCTATTCCCGGCTCTGCTCTGTCCTCATATCCCTACAATTTCATTTTAAGATGAAAGTCAGCCCAAAGGGCACTCTGCCTGTGTCCAGGCACCAATCCAGAACCTAATCATACCCCATTTCCCCTACTCCCAGAGTTGTTTGCATAGTAAACCCAAAAACTTGGCTCTGAGACTGCCAGCAAGTATCTCCACCTCATCCTCTCATTCAAAGTTATTCCACAGTCAAAAGCCAGTAGTTGAAGATGAGTAGTCCTAGTCTGAATACTTGCCTATGTCATATAATCACAAAAAAAACTTTGGCCAAGATACAAAATCATTCTGAGCCTTAGTTTTCTTATCTATAAAATGGGAACAATATAATTGCACGCCTCATAATATCACTGTGACAAGTGTATGATATGATAAATGTAAATTAGATCTAACACATCAACTGGCATGAGTGTGTCAATGATTATTGTTTCCCCTACTCTTCCATTCAAATTTCCTTTCTCTTGTTGACATTCTAGGTTACAATATGTCAGTAGTCACACAGATCCACTTCCGTTTCATATAATGACCATAAATTACTTCATAGAATCATAGGCTAGCAGACACTTTAGAAATGGTCTAGTCCAGAATTTTCCAAAGTAGATTGCATATCATTAAACACTCAGGAATTTTTTGTGTTTAAAAAAGAATGGGAGATTATATGGTCAAATAAGACTAGGAAACATTGGGAAAATCAATCTAGATTCACTTCCTATAGGAAAACTTCTCAAACCTGTAATATGAGGATAGACACTTGGAATCTCCAAGAAAGATATTATATTAAAAGGCTCTCAACTAATGTCTCTGCAAAGGTTTCTTCTATGGCGTATACATTAACATCTCACAAAATTTTCATGAAAGACAGTTAAGAGAGCCAATGAATCACTCTTCCAATTTTACAGATGAGTGATGAAAGGCATAGAGAAGTTATGAGGCTTGGCTAGAGTCACCCAGCAAAATCCACAGCAGGATAAGAGCTTGAACATAAGTCTCTCGGCTCTTGTATCTTTTTAAAAAGTATTAAGTATTTGCCAAGTATCAGTAGGGAATAAACATATACGTACATATATGGTCTCTAATGACCAGCATGTAATACACACACACATACACACACACTTTGTTTAGGAAAGACAGACACTCAGTCTGTCCATTTTGGCAGACTCTCCCTCCCTTTTCCTTCCTACCACCCACTCGGCCCCCCACCCTCCTTCTCCTTCATTGTCATCAATCCTCTGCAACTGCTGCCTTCCCTTCCTCTTCCCATTGCCCTCCTGCTCCATCCTTTCTCCTCTCTCTGCTTGGCCTCTCCTTCCCCTAGTGGGAAAAAAAAGACATGATCAGAGTCTCAGAACCCACAGGAAATATCAGAGAAATGAACCACACAGCACTCAGCCCTCTAAACAGGGTCAAGCAGACATCCCCCTATGCAATGGGTAGTAGAGCTAATAGGACAGTTCTTTCCTGCATGGAGAGGTGCTCACCCCCATGTAGCACTGACTGTACTTAAAATGATCAATTACCTGGTACTTGGATCTGGTAGCTACATGTTACTACAACATAAAAGCTAATGAAACAGGGAGGAAGTAATTAACACAGAGCATCTCTGCAAATATACATTGATCCAGCAAGATGAGGAAATGGCAACTTCTCTGTTGGAATACAAATGCAAACATGCTCACCTCCAAACTATTGATCAGGACATGGCACGGGCCAACCTGGAGAAGTCACCACCTCCCACCAGGCTCAAGGGAGCAGCCTCAGTCTATAGCAGGAAGAGAATCACTGGCATATCTGCAGCTACTGTCTGCTCAGATTTCAGGGTTAAAACCAGAGATGCCCACTGTTTGCCCCCAATCTTTGTCTTCCTTTGCCTCTTCACTCTTTTGTTCTCCACCCCATTTTGTTGTTTTCCATCGCCTTATCTTTTGTCTGCTGACCATACAAATGCTCCATTCCCCATATTGGTCTCATCCCTATCTTCTTAGCATCCTCACACCCTGGGAGATCCTTACTAGTAAAAGACTCAGCTGTGCTCAGGGTGAAAATAACCCACCCACCAGGGCTTTGTTTGCCTCTGATGGACATACCAGGAGGACTTTGGTGATGAGAGTTAAACAGGACAGAGTTAATATTTAGTTTGTGTGGGTTAGCATAGTAAAAGGCACTGCATGTGTGCTCAATTTTTATTGAAACAATAAATGGATAAATGAATGGATGGATGGATGGATGGATGGATGGATGGATGGGTGGATGGATGACTTTGATATATTCTTCATAATGTGAAAAATACAACAATGTTCCTTACTGTTGAGATTATGTTCATGTTCTTTTACAGAAGAATTGAAAAGGCCAACAACCTGCTGTACATTGACCCTGATGCCTTCCAGAACCTGCCCAACCTCCGATATTTGTAAGAACTCCTGAATTCTGGTGCCCCCTCTATGATCAAAGTGTGTATAATACTCTTTTAAGCAAAATGTCCACTTGCTACTCTGGGAAGCAGTTGCTTTTTATCAAAGATGTGAGGCAGAAGTGGAGATGGAGAGACACTTGCTGGTGAACTTTAGTTGAGTTTAATGAGTGAATTTCACTAATATAATTGCATTTTGTTTTCATTTACTAAAACAGACATCACAAGGAATGCCATTTGCATTAATGGGCTGTCACACAGACCTCTTGTCGAACTCAGTCTTAATTTAGTGTTAATGCGATGCAGCCAAAATTTCTGCTGGCATTTACCTTGCAACCTTGACCTCAAAGGCATCATCTCCTCTGTTCTGAATTTTTTCTTTGACAGATTACAGTGTTTGATTTTGTAAGTTTTGGTTAATAATAGACATGGCATTGATCAGCAGAGATTCCTGGTGTTTGAGCTCCATCCCTCAGGCTTGCCCCCATCAGCAAAAATACTGCTTCTTCTACTTAAATAGCTTTTAAATTAGCCAAGGGCTTGACAGACCCCTGGATGCTATGACATGGGCCCACAAAATAACAGACAAGAATGTGGGCCACGGAGCAAATTTTTCTAGGCCCGTTATTTTTCTCAAACAAGCTTGTTTCCTTGTTGAGAGAACAGAAATAATAAATCTGTTACTTATTAAATAATCATGATGCATAACCAAATACCCTATAAGAAAGAGTTTTAAAGCAACAACTATTTATCCTCTCTCAGCTGTGAGTTGATCAGAGGAATGGTGCTGCTGACAGGACTCTCATTTTCCCGACTTCAGCTTAGCTCACTCATGCATCTGCAGGTCAGCGGGAGGCTGGCTGATCTGGATGGTCTCAGTTGAAATGACAGCTCTCCTCCGAGTGGTGCTCATTTCCAGCAGGCTAGCACAGGCTTGTCCTCATGGCAGCCTAGGATTCCGGGAGAGAGAGCTGAAGCTTTCAAGCCTCTTGAGATTTAACCCCTGAACTAGTACACCATCTCTTCTGGTGAATTTTATGAGCCAAAGCAATTCGAGACCAGCCCAGGTTCAAGAGGGGCAGAAACAGACTCTTCTTCTTGATGGGAAAAGCTGAAGTCACAACACCAGGTATGTGAACACAGGGAATGACAGAATTGAGGCCATGCTGGCAATCAATTTAAAGCACATACAAAGATTTGCACAGTATCTGTCACATAGTAAATGCTAATACATATTAGCTACTATTGATGTTGTCTCTGTCCCTAAATTTTGATCTATAAGAACTGGAGTTAGTCGGTATACTAAGGAACACTAGGCCATTATGTGCCATAGTGAATGGAGACTGACTGAAGGAATAAACAATTTCACAGAAGAGAGTTCATATGACCTGGATCTGAGAAAAAAAAAACAAGGTCATCCACTTATGAGTTGTCAGTTGGAGGACTTGCTTGGTTGGCACAAAACCTGTGCAGCTGCACAGGGCCCTGTGCTCAAAAGGATCCCACACTCTGAGAACCTCAGACTAGGATTAGTTCTCTGCTGCTTTGTCTTAAAAGAAACATTTGTGAACAAGGGGGCCTGCATTTTCATGTTGCACTGAACCCCATCAATTATGTAGGCAGTCCTGCTCAGAGTTAGGGTTATGGTCACTTCTAGTTTCAGAGTTTGGAGTCTTGGCTCCCTAAATGGACTTTGCTATACTCTCTGCAGAGGCTAGCCTAGATCAGGCACAGAAGTGGAGGAAATGTGGATTAACAAATAAGGTATGGGTCTTAGACTCAGAAAATCTAGGGCTTAATCCTGACCATACCACTTACTCTTGGGCCAGTCACTGCACTTCTGGGATGTACATGGCTCTCATGAGCCTCAAGTGAGATTTATATATGAAAACGTCTTTTACAAAATATTGTATACTAAAAAGTTCTCAAAAGACATTTTAAAATATACGATTATTTGTAGAATGATTATTTCTGATCAACCGAAGTCTACAAGTCTATCCTCAGGGAAATTCCTATAAGTGTTGAATAGTTAAGTATTGAAAAGCTAAGACCTTTAGCTTTTACCTAGAGTGTTTGGAATGAGTTCAAAATGAGAACTTTGGGACATGCCTAAGCAGTATAGAAAATAAAATACATATACTCAGAAGGACTAGATTCCAGATACTTATTAGCTAGACTGCCTATTACCTTTTCTAAGACTTTGTTTCCTTATCTGTAAATTGGGTGGTTGTGAAAACCAAATAAGACTATGCCGGCAAAAACATTTTGCAAAATTGTTTTTCAGTATACAAACTGTAAAGAACTATACAAATATAAATTAGTACCTGCTACCCAGTTTCTTTCATTTCATTTTCCCTCCTCCTTTACTTCCCAACTACTATCCCTCTCTCCTTCTCTCTTTTCTCCTAGAAAAGTCTGATTGAAATCTGGGAGGCGCAGACCCTTCAATAACAGCAAGAGTACCCTAGGACATGCAAAGGGGCACCCCAGTTTACATACTATCACATATGGCTAGTGAAAAGCACTGCTACAGAGGATAAACCCAAGAAGAAAACCACCCCCTCACACACATATTCCATGGCCCATGATAATAACAGCATGAATAACAGTGAAAATGGTAGACTGGGAGCAGATGAATAAAGAGATGAAGAATCATTGCAGCCTTGGCCAGGTGGCTCAGTTTGTTGGAGTGTCTTCCCATCCACCAAAAGGCTGTGGGTTCAGTTCCTGGTCAGGGCACATACCTAGTTGCAGGTTCAATCCCTGATCAGGGTGTCTATAGGAAGCAACTGATCTCTCTCTCTCTCTCTCTCTCTCTCTCTCTCTCTCTCTCTCTCTCTCTCTCCCTCCCTCCCTCCCTCTTTCTAAACCAATAAAAACATATTCTTAGGTGAGGAATTCATAAAAATTAAAGAAGAATCATTGCAAAATAACATTTTCAAAAAACAATCATTGATGCAGAATTTGACCCCAATATTGTCCCCCACTTATGACCAGCACCATTCATTCTTATTAACAAGGACCCTTGGCCTTTTCTCTAGGGGCTTGAGTCTGGGGAGGAGCTAGGAAGAATGTGGGCATAGAAGAAGAGGAAACTTTGGCAGAACTCAGAGGACAAAGGTGTGACTTTGACTCTGGAAGAGGCTGAAATCTGTGTCATCTGTCATCGCGTCCAGCCTCTCCTTGGTGTCCTTTTCTCACATGGAGGTGTTGAGTAGTCCCCATTCCCATCTGGCTCCCTATCACATTCAGACAAAGCTGGAGGTGACCGACTCCAGCTCCATCCTTTCCTGAGAGGAGAATATTGTTCACAGAGCATTTAAAGTGTGCTTTCTAACTGGGAAGAGAAAAGAGTTAGTAAGCAGCTTGGAGTTCTGTCATTGTCAAAGGATCTTCCATGACTGCTCCAAAAAAAATCCTTACATAATTCTACAGTGTCCAAAAGTCTGTCACATCCACTGCCACGCAAATATGCATCAGGAAGGTGAGACAAAGGGTTGTTCATCTTAAGTCTTTTTCACTTATTTCCCAAGATGGGCCTCTCCCACCTGCACACTCCTCCCCAGGATGTGGCATCCGGTGACCCTAAGAATCCAAAGACATTAGCAATATATCTATTCAAGATTCAGAAATATTTTCCCAACTGCAACGAGGAATCACCTAAATTCATGGTTGGTCCTCTACTCTGAAAGCTTATATCATGGAAACAAAGCCCAGGTAAGCTTCCTTCCACACTTAGTGTCTGAGCAGAAGTCATAAATAACTTTACCATCCAGCAACCAGGCAGAGGTAGACAACAACGATTTCAGATATTCTTTTGGATGATGCAGTACATGCTAAAAGAAAAGAAAACACACACACACACACACACAACACACACACACAAAATGGATGAAGAAATCAGAGGGACCAGTAGAACTGAGGAGTTGTTTATTTCCTTAAGCCAGGATAAATGCCTATCATTACAGCCACCAAAGCAGGAAATTAGAAGGCGTAGGGGTGAGTTGTCATTTGACTTGAGCATCCTAATTGCTGCACACACTCACTGAGAAATGTTTTTCTTCCATTTGATGTTGATCATTTTATGGCACAGTATTCAAGACAACCAGAAATCAGTATTCTTCATTACTGCCTTCATACTTCACTGAGGAACCCAAAGTGGTTAGGGAAAACACTCATAAATAAAGAAATGTACTTTGACTAAAGAAATATATATCAAGGAATTCACCTGGACGAATTTTTTTTACATCAATATTGTACTTGCAGGCAATGTTTCTCTCTTTATCACTCCACCTTCCTGAAGCTGACCTTTTGTGTATGAAAGATTACCTATTGATCTATAAATAAGGTTCATACAATATTCTCTTGCCTTTGCATCCTGTCAATGTAATTCTCAGGCAGCTGGATGTTGCTTTTTGCTACTCAATAAACCATAATCCCATCTTAGCAAACCCTTCACACACACTGGTAGGCCCCATCTAACTGATGATCACCTTCCACTCACATGTGGGCCTGTCAGACCTCCTTAGGCTATCTGCTAAGGGCAACCACGCCCTCTACTTTCTCCAGTTGGGGATAATTCCTGGAGATTCTTTCACTGGGACTCACCTCAGCAATTCAGGCTATTTCTTTCCTGCCCCTAAATTCTATTCTGTCTTTCCTTCATTCCTCTTTCATTTGGTTTGTGGGGATAATGAAAGTAACTTTTCTTGTTATAAAAGTATTTGTTGGACATTGTATGGCAAAGGCACGAAGGGCAGGGACTGGGGAGGTAGTATACAGTAGCAAGGAAACACACAGGTTCCACTGCCACCTGTCTGGGCCAGGTGTCAGCTTCTGCCCTTGCTAATTGTGTGACTTTGGAAAATTGGCTTAACTTCTCTAAGTCTCAGTCTTACTTTCTTTAACTTGGGAATAACACTGTCTGCATCTTTGTATTAAATGAAGTACTTGCATTAAATGAAGTACTTGGAAGAATGACTGACATTTAGAAAATTCTC